CCGTTCTCCTCGCACTTCGTATCAACAAGCGTGCAAAGGTTGGGGTTTGACAGGCCGCCCTAGCATAAAAAACATCGACTGCCCCCTCGCCCTGCCGCTACACAGCCGAGGCGGGCGGCGTAGCGTTAAAATTACTTATAACCTAACCCCAATTAAGGTACTTATAACCCCAATTACTAAGTCCCATGATCCTCCAAGTAGACCCTAAACCCTAAACCCTTATAGCACCCCTATAGATCCCTTAAAAGGGGCCCCTATAACCCTACTTACTAAGTCCCATGATCCTCCACCTGACCGACGCTCAGTCTGCTGCCAATGCCCAGCTGCCCGACTCGGCCCTCGCCCCAACACCTGGGTTTAGGGTTTAGGGTTTAGGGTAGTTTAGGGTTTAGGGTTTAAGGTAGTTTAGGGTTTAGGGTAGTTTAGGGTTTAGGGTAGTTTAGGGTTTAGGGTTTTGGGTAGTTTAGGGTTTAGGGTTTTGGGCGCACCTGCTGTTACAACTGTTGCAGATCGCAGGCACCTCGTGGTGTCGTCGCTCAAGAGCACGCAGGTGTGGCCGACACCGGTGCCCACATCCCGCACCTCGCGGTTGCCGAGGCCGACAGCGCGGAGATTGGAGCCCATCTCGTAGGGCTCGTCTCCCAAGCTCTCCAGGTTGCCCTGGCCAAGCCTCAACTAGTGTGGGCTGCTCTGTAGTTCTTGACAAGCTGTTTCAAAAGCGCCCGTGTCTTCCCGGTACTGAGGCCCAGGCAAGCCACTCCCTCCCCAGCCCCAGCACTTCAGGTTTGCATCTTGAAGGACAGCACAGGTGTGATAACTGCCACTCGAAGCCGCGATGCGGACAACCGTCACCCCATCGCCCATATCTGTAATAGGAAGACTGGTGCCCATCTCACCGGGCTGGTCGCCCGCATCTTCAAGGTTGCCGTGCCCCAGTTGACCCCAGCCATTATCACCCCAGCACTTTACCGTGCCGTCGGACAGGACCTGGCACAGGCACGTGCACAACACGATAGAACGAGTCCAATGCACTGGATGCGGGCAAGCGGCGGCGCAGGTGTGAAGATACCCGGCTGCGATTTGCACAGCAGGAAGGGGGCCCAAGTCCACTACAGGTAAGGCATCGCCCATCTCGTTGGGGCTGGTTCCGATGTACACTCCACCATCGCCCAGTCCTAGTCCCAGGCGGTTGCCCTGTCCCCAACATTTGACGGCACCTTGGCTTGAGAGAGCACAGCTGTGGGCATATCCCAAGGCCAGCTGCACTGCTTCGAAGTCGGTGCCCAGGTCAACCGCGGTGAGGTTCGAGCCCATCTCGCCGGGCTCGTCGCCACGGTTCTCCCTCACGTGTGTTGCGCACACTCAAGCACCATGCCATGTCAGTGAAGTGGCAGATAGAACCTCTGGGGCCCGGGCTCGTCTCCCAAGCCCAGCAGACGTCCCTGGCCAAAGCACTTCACGCGCCCGCCTCGAAGCAGAGCGCAGGTGTGGTCGATACCAGCAGCCACCTGCACCACCTCCGCACCGGTGCCCAGGTCCACCGCTGGCAGGTGCTGGCCCATCTCCAAGGGCTCGTCGCCAACATCGCGGGTGTGTCCGTAGCCAAGCTTGCCATCACTGCCACTCCCGAAGCATTTCAGGACGCCCGTTTCGAGAACTGCGCAGGTGTGCCATTGACCGCAGGCCACTTTCGTCACTCGAACGCCCGCCTCTCCGAGTTCCACGGCCGGTAGGTTCTCCCCCATCTCACCCGAAGCGCCGCCCACATCTGCACCGCTGCCGTAACCCAAGCGGCCGTGAAATCCAGCTCCCCAGCACTTCAGGACGCCCTGGGCCTTGAGAACTGCACAGTTGTGGTAGCCACCAGAAGAAAGGCTCAGGAACTCTGCCGGGTTTGCTTCGGGCCCCTCCCAGGCCAGGATTCCGTCCAAAGCTACTTTGGACGAAGTTCCCCAGCCACCAAACTTCAAGAAACGGAGCCCTTCCACGCCACTTGGGAGCCTCACCTTGGCTTGAAGCCACTCGGCTCCTTGGTTTGATTGCCGGGACCAGCGCAAGCTCCACCGGACACCTTTCAGGTACCATAACTCCAGCTTGCCGACGCCAGTCCCAAACATGTAGAAAGCGAACTCCAGGTAGGAGACGTTGCCGGGCCTGGGGAAGAGCGGGCTGGTGAGCACGTATACCTGCAATTTTCCCCCTGCCTCGTTCTCGAGGGGGGTGACGTAGACGTAGCTCTCGGCGTGGAATGCTGCATCAGGCATGGAGGCTAAAGGACTTTGGGAGGGGCCGCTGACGCGCTGCCAGTCCCCTGCCCACTTGCAGGTGTCCTGCTCGAAGCTGCACCTCGCATCCGCCAGAGTTGCGTCGACCGCCGACAAGGAATCCAGCTTCACCCGGTCAAGATCACCGGTGACATTGGCCACGAAGCGGAAGCCGACACTGCCAACAGGCACTGTAACTGCACCAGTATGCCAAGCATCGCTTCGGCCACCCGACTCGAACTGCAAGCGCTGCCAGCCATCAGCGGAAGTTCGGTGTTGCACCTCCAATGCCACGGCATCCGAGCCGGACAGCTGATAGTCGAACACCAAGATCTTCTCCTCAGTGGCGTTGAGCATGGCCGCAGTCTCCAAGACCCGTTCCCAAGATTGCAAACTGTTCCCAGAAGCCTCCAGCCACTGGCCGTTCGCATCACCCACAAGCTGCCATGAAGAGCTGCCATTGCTTCGCCAAAGGCAGGTGTCAAAACGGAAGTCGCAGGACAACTGGCGGAACTGAACTGTGGGCAGCCCTTCTGCTATGCCATCTACGGCCATGTCGCCCTGCCAGCTGTTGCCCGTGGTGGCTACAAAGCGCACAGCCCTCGCATCCTGCGGCAACATCACCAATGCTGCGCCCCATTGCATCCCTTGCTCTCCGATTCGTGACCAAGCTTGGGTCCAGCCGCTGCTTCTCAACGTCTCCATTCGCAAGCTGCCTGTGTCATCCCCAAACATGTGGTAGAAGAAATGGAGGAGCCGGCTTGTAGGCGATGGGTCGAACACGCCACTGGTGAGGATAAACTCCTGCACACGGACTCGTGAAGACCTACTATCGTGCCTGATGCTTTGTTTTGTGACGTGGTCCTGCCTGGTTCTCATTGTCACTAGCTTCCGTGTAAATGTACCACTCGCCTTCCCCAGCCTCGTCCGGTCCGGTGTCTGAGCTAGGAGTAGCCCCTGAATGTCGCAGCCACGTGCTCGCACTGGTGGACCAAGCGCAGAAATCGGACTCGAAACCACAGGCGATGTCGCTCCAGTCGCGCAGAACGTTCGACGCATTGATTGAGTCGATACGCACGACATCTGCCTCACCGGTGATGTTGGCCACGAAGCGGAGGCCAAGAGTAGAAGAAGGGATGATGACAACGGCGCCGTTCCAAACAGCGCTGCGGCCACCTGACTGCAACAGCAAGCGCTGCCAGCCGAAAGCAGAGGTTTGGTGCTGCACCTCCAACGTAACGGTATTCGAGCCGGACAGCTGATAGTTGAAAACCAAGACTCTCTCCTCAGTGGTGTTCAGCAGAGCCGCCGTTTCGAAGATCCATTCCGGTGCTTGGGAACCGCTTCGAGAAGCCTCCAGCCACTGGCCATTCGCATCACCCACAAGCTGCCATGAAGAGCTGCCATTGCTTCGCCAAAGGCAGGTGTCAAAACGGAAGTCGCAGGACAACTGGCGGAACTGAACTGTGGGCAGCCCTTCTGCTATGCTATCTACGGCCATGTCGCCCTGCCAGCTGTTGCCTGTGGTGGCTACAAAGCGCACAGCCCTCGCATCCTGCGGCAACATCACCAATGCTGCGCCCCATTGCATCCCTTGCTCTCCGATTCGTGTCCAAGCTTGGGTCCAGCCGCTGCTTCTCAACGTCTCCATTCGCAAGCTGCCTGTGTCCTCCCCAAACATGTGGTAGAAGAAATGGAGGAGCCGGCTTGTAGGTGATGGGTCGAACACGCCACTGGTGAGGATAAACTCCTGCACACGGACTCGTGAAGACCTACTATCGTGCCTGATGCTTTGTTTTGTGACGTGGTCCTGCCTGGTTCTCATTGTCACTAGCTTCCGTGTAAATGTACCACTCGCCTTCCCCAGCCTCGTCCGGTCCGGTGTCTGGGCTAAGAGTAGCCCCTGAATGTCGCAGCCACGTGCTCGCACTGGTGGACCAAGCGCAGAAATCGGACTCGAAACCACACGCGATGTCTCTCCAGTCGTGCAGTATGTTTTCTGCATGGAGAGAGTCGATGCGCACGACATCTGCCTCACCGGTGATGTTGGCCGCAAAGCGGAGGCCAAGAGTAGAAGGAGGGACGGCGACGATGGCGGTGTGCCAAACAGCGCTGCGCCCACCCGACTCGAACTGCAAACGCTGCCAGCCGTTAGCGGAGGTCTGGTGTTGTACCTCCAATGCCACGGTACTTGAGCCGGACAGCTGATAGTCGAAAACCAATGCCTTCTCTCCAGTGGTGTTCAGCAGAGCCGCCGTTTCGAAAATCCATTCCGGTGCTTGGGAACCGCTTCGAGAAGCCTCCAGCCACTGGCCATTCGCATCACCCACAAGCTGCCATGAAGAGCTGCCATTGCTTCGCCAAAGGCAGGTGTCAAAACGGAAGTCGCAGGACAACTGGCGGAACAGAACTGTGGGCAGCCCTTCTGCTATGCCATCTACGGCCATGTCGCTCTGCCAGCTGTTGCCCGTGGTGCCTACGAAGCGCACAGCCCTCGCATCCTGCGGCAGCGTCACCAATGCTGCGCCCCATTGCATCCCTTGCTCTCCGATTCGTGACCAAGCTTGTGTCCAGCCGCTGCTTCTCAACGTCTCCATTCGCAAGCTGCCTGTGTCCTCCCCAAACATGTGGTAGAAGAAATGGAGGAGCCGGCTTGTAGGTGATGGGTCGAACACGCCACTGGTGAGGATAAACTCCTGCACACGGACTCGTGAAGACATGTGAAGACCTATTATCGTGCCTGATGCTTTGTTTTGTGAAGTGGTCCTGCCTGGTTCTCATTGTTACTGGCTTCCGTGTAAATGTACCACTCGCCTTTGCCAGCTTCGTCCGGTCCGGTGTCTGAGCTAGGAGTAGCCCCTGAATGTCGCAGCCACGTGCTCGCACTGGTGGACCAAGCGCAGAAATCGGACTCGAAACCACACGCGATGTCTCTCCAGTCGTGCAGTATGTTTTCTGCATGGATTGAGTCGATGCGCACGACATCTGCCTCACCGGTGATGTTGGCCGCAAAGCGGAGGCCAAGAGTAGAAGGAGGGACGGCGACGATGGCGGTGTGCCAAACAGCGCTGCGCCCACCCGACTCGAACTGCAAACGCTGCCAGCCGTTAGCGGAGGTCTGGTGTTGTACCTCCAATGCCACGGTATTTGAGCCGGACAGCTGATACTCCAAAACCAAGACATTTTCCTCAGTGGTGTTGAAAAGAGCCGCTGTCTCCAGGACCCAATCCGACGCTTGGGAACTGTTCCCAGAAGCCTCCAGCCAACGGCCATCGGCATCTCCCGCAAGCTGCCATGAAGAGGCACCGGTGCTTTGCCACAGACAGGCATTAAGAAGGAACTCGCAGGCGAGCTGATCGAACTCCACGCTGGGCAGCCCAGTGCCGATTGCGTCCAGGGCCATATCGCTCCACCAGCCGCCGTCATATGTGGTCCCCACGAAGCGCAGTTCCTTGACGTGTGGCGGCAAGACCACCACTGCCAGCTGCCACTGCTGGCCTTGCTCTCCTGTTCGTGACCATAGCTCCGTCCACCCAACGCTGCTGAAAGCTTCCAGCCGCAAGCGGCCCATGTCCACCCCGTGCATGTGGAAGTGGAAGTGGAGATGCCGGATCGCCTCGGACGGCTCGAACACGCTGCTCAGGATGAAGTCCTGCAAAGCGACATGGGTCCAGCAAAACGCAGGCTAGGCAGGACCTTGCTCCTCAGAGTAGAGACGATGCACTCAGTTCATGCGGCACGAAGGATGTAGGGATATGCTGTTACTGATCATCAAATCGGAGCATCCGGCCTGATCGAGAGCCCAGGACTCCACATAAGTGTACCATCCGCCCTGAGCCGCCGATGGCGGTCCAGTCTCTGGATAGGCACTGCTGGAGGATCGCAGCCAGGGATGCTCTCCGGTGGACCACCCGCAGAAGTCCACCTCACAGATTTTCACAAAGCACAGTGAAAGATAGCTTTTGGAGAGCCTCCCTGGCCGCCCGGGCCTCGAAGCCACAGCTGACGGCGGCGTCCCATGAAGCCTGCAGTGCTCTGGACCGATGCTCCTTCGTGTCACGCATGGGTCCAGGTCCATTCGGTGATGCAAAGGTGGCGAGCAACGTGCTCCTGGAAAGTGTGGCTGGAACTCGTAGGGCAAAGGATCTGCGTGGACCCGCCCTGTCAGGTCGTCTGCCACTGCAGGAGGATGCGGACGCGACTCGAGCTCTCTCCTGCCTCGTCCTTCTGCACTCCAGTCAGAAAGGCGTGCACTTCCGTCAACCTGCCGAGCGGAAGCAGCAAACCCTAAATGTTCAAGCCGTACCGGGGTGCAATGGCGTGGCTTCGAGGAGTGCCTGCTACCAGGTGCAACTTTGACAACGCAGCTTTGCAAGGTCGGAAGCTCGTTCGTGACGATGCAATCGGCTGCCCCAACTGCACACGGCCTCGGTCGGAGTCACAAGCACAAGAGCTCACCCAAAGGGCGTTACCGGAAGGTTTACAAGTAACTTAATGGGTTCGAGTGTGCGAGCCTGGCATTGGTTTTCAGGCACCCTTACTTGAAAGCTACCGCTTGGAACCCTCACTACACCCTGGTATAAGCCCTTACAAACCCTCGTACAGCTTCCAAATTCTTATACACCCTATAAACCCTGATGAAACCCAATCAAAGCCTGGACATCTGCCCTTACAAAAGTAGCGTTGCTTAGTTTCAACTGCTTCTGGAAGGCAAAAGGACATGCTTCGAGTCGGTGTTCCTTGACATCGGGTTTTGCAGGGAAACATCGCCACACTGGGAAGAGCGCGACGAGATGCGCTCTGTGTGTTGCCGATGGGCGGCAGCACGGACTAGTGTTAGCATTTCAATTGGAGCGTGGACGTTGCTCTGAGCTAGGACTGCGTTTCATTCCAGCAATGGAGCTTCTTGGCGTGCCCGGTTCTTGGAGCCCTCATCTTCGCTCGCAGAGCCTCTCAAGGCGATTTCGGAAGCGCTGTGCACCGAAAAGAAGGCCCCCGTTTTCAGACTTGAGAAGCTTCAAAAACGTGTGCAGGTTTTGCAGCCTGCAAGGCTTCAACTTGGTGAGTGGAGGACCTTTGCGAAGAAGGCCTCAAGACAGCTTCGGAAGAAGCTGGGCAGCAGCTTGCCAATGCCAAGTCCAAGGCACTGAAAGCCCTTCGTAGAAGTTGCTTCACCGTCGGAAATTGTTACGCCAAGAGATTTTGCGTGCATCTCGGTTGAAACTAGAGTCTAGAATCCTAGAAGAGGTAGGAAGACAGAGAGAGCTTGCATGCGTTTTGCAAAGCTTGGTCTGACTGCGCGGCGGGCCTGCACTGTGCTTCCAGTGGCTGCTCTTGCTTGCGACGTCTTGTGGACCAAAACCACACTTCGCAATGTTGAAAGCACAGGAGCATCTGGGCTGCGGACCCACTGACCATCATCCAGGTAGGCGAGCCTTCACAGCACAGCACCGTTTCCTCTGCTCTCTGCGAAAACATGGGGGACATGAAGACCTGCGTGAAGTGGAGAGAGTCTCGTCTCCCGTGTTCTTTTACCTGCCTTGAGCCACGGCGGCCGACATCTCGCCCTCCGATCTCGCCACCAGAGCCTCCTCACGAAGCAGAGCAGGATTCTCTGTCAGAGCAGACTAGGATGCATCTCACAACTCCGCCTCCCCCGACAGCTCCTTTTCCGGAGATTCCTCAAGGAGGCAACGATTTGTAGGGTCTCGTCGACATTTGCCTCCGCCCTGGCCCCCCTCCCTTCATTGGCACTCTTTCCTCGGCTTCCGCGAGGCACAGCTTCCAGAGATGGGGAGCCTTCCGGGTTTGAGCTGCGGGAAAATCTCCAAAAATGTAGGACTCAAGCGTGCAAACGGAGAAATGAGACAGCGGGCCTTGTTGTTGGCTTTGCTGCTGGAATCTGCGAGGACCTCAAGCAACAGCACGTGGCAAATATGACTTCAGGAACGGTTAGGAAAGCCAAGCCCAGTTGTTCTCAATCTGCGAATCATTTCTGCCTCCGAGGTGTCTCTGGTGGTGAAGGGTATGATCTCGATGGCAACGGGCCTGCAGCAGCTGCTATTTGGGGTTTTAGTTTTCTCAAACTCTCATTTCACAGAGAACAGTAAGCCTAGCAAAGGAAGATGAGCAGGCTGCAACAAACTCTCACCGTCCTCATGCTGAATATCGCCATCGTCGCGATAGCGATCATCAGTGTCATCTGCTTCTGGGTATTTGCAAACTCATAAAGCCACAAAAACACATCGAACAACGCTCTTTCTATCAATGCAATCTGCTTCTCCGCGAGGTGGCATCGACTCATGTTGATATAGATGCACACGCTCACTTCAGACATGTATGCAGCCGAGCCCTGATGCAATTTCGGGCCGACCTTCCTTCCAGCGATGTGTGTGTGTGTGTGTGTGTGTGTGTTCTCTGTCTTCGGGTAAAAGCGATGTCGGCAACATCTACACATGTGCACTAAGGGACTAAGGGACTGCACCAAAAGCGCGCGTCTTCTGTGCATCCGTATGGCGTGTGTCGAGAATCATGTCGCACATGTCATGTCTCGTCCAGGCCTGCCAACATTGCAGCAAGCAAGCGGTCATAAGCTGAGATTGTGGAAAAGTTGAAATTTAAAACTTCCCGACATGTGAGTGGCAATAGCAAGATGTGTGTTCACAGGATTGAGTTTCGGGAAACCGCACAGGCACACACACGATGTGCGCTTTTTCAATCCGATGTGTTTGCTATGAAGTGCGTCACAGCAGCTCATATTGACATAGATGCATTCTGTCACTTCAAGCATGCATCCAACTAAACTTTACGTTTATCGACACGTGGATTTCTCTATCCTGGGGTTAAATGCATCGCCGACATCCATGCATCTGCATATATCTGCATTCAAGGACCGCGCCACAAGTGTGTCTTCAAGCTGCATCAGTATGACATCATTCGAGAGGTCACGATCTGTGCATGTGTATTTCCCCCAGGCAAAGTGCAATGCTTCATAATTCAATCAACACTTCCACCAAGAAACCTCTCAATCGAACACTGCGTGATCTGCACCCTGTTTTCTTTCAAACGCACTCATCGGGTCGATGATTCGTTCAGCACGTGCTTGTACCTTATGAGCACGGCCACAGTGGACGCGCCGAACGCCATACAAAACCTGCTTAGTTGCCAGACGGTCCAGCTTGAACAAGACAAGACGTCAGAACAGTAACCTTCGACTCAACAGCCGCCCCCCACTTTACCAGCAAGCAAGAATCAAGAAGAGCTACCCAAGTCTAGGGTCTGGAGGACAAAGCCTTGGGGCCCCACGCACGTGAACTAGGGGGACAAGGTGTGCCGTATCCACTCCCCTCGCAAGTCACAGTGCCGCAGCTCACTTGCCTTCGGGGGGACCGACGAGACCACCTTGAGAACAAGGTGTGCCGTATCCACTCCCCTCGCAAGTCGCAGTACTGCAACTCACTTACCTTCGGGGGGACCGACGAGACCACCTTGAGAAGAAGGTGTGCCGTATCCACTCCCCTCGCAAGCCGCAGTACTGCAACTCACTTACCTTCGGGGGGACCGACGAGACCACCCCAGTCCCTACAGGACTGAAGGCTCAACAAGAGTCATGTCTCGCGCAGAGAATGCCAATGTTGCAGCAAGCAAGCGGTCAGAACTTGAGGTTGTTCATGATTGTTCGAAAGTGAGGTTGGACAAACATCTAGACATGCTTGTGCGCAGGTATTTCTGCGCAATACAAACCAGCTGTTTGCGAAATGGAGATAAGGTGACAATCACAAATTATGCCTTCGCTTTGTGCTCTCCTACAGCATCATCATCGTCTTAGCAAGGGATTTCCGGCCGGTCGGAACTCATCTAAACAAGCCTGCAGCGGCAAGTGAAGCACAGACATGTCCAGATGTGGGGCAGTGCCAAGCTGAGCATCCCAGATACTATCAGCCTGCTGCCATGTCCGATTTCGACTGTGCAATGCTCTTGGTTGTTGGGGAGGTCCACGTCCGTGCTGACGATGCAGCCATCTTCCTGAACGGTACAAGACCTAAGCGGGCATTGCTTCCACTCGCACAGGATGGTTAAAGTGCATGACCACACAACCGAACCACTCCATGCAGGACACCTTAGGCACGAACCCGGCGCTTATCTGCAATGACAGCGAATCCAAGTTGCCTGCAGCCCACATGGAAGCTGACAGCACGTGCTACCCGATGCACGTTGCCACAGATTTCTCGCCTCAGTCTCTCAGTTCACGAACCGATGCGATTCGACCCAAGACCAGGCTTTGCATGCGCACCCGCGCTACGAGTGTAGTTGGGGCCGAAAAGCATGCAGCCCTCCAAGCAAGGACATCCCTAGAATCACTCCGAGAGTCCTTGAGGACAGTAGCTGCACGTCAGAAATCCCAATCTCATATACTGTGGTGTTTCGAAGATCACGCACAGCGAGGCTTCCGAACTTTCACACGCAGAACTGCCTCGCGCGAAGCAGGTCATGGAGATGCTCAGCAGATACCAAATCGACGCCATGTTCCTGCCACGTCCGAAAGCCAACTAGCAAGAAGCGGCGTGCAGCGTAAAGCCAAGGAAAGCTTCGAACCCCAACGTCTACGCGTGTCCCTACCCCCCGTCCTTGACCCGTCGCGCCCTGTGTCGGAACGGAAAATCGTGGCTGCAATCTGCAAGTTGGAGCCCACTGGTTGCGGCAAAAATCACATCAACTCGGGTCACTTCCAACTGCAATCTCAAGCAACGTATGACCACATTTCCAGCACTCCTCCTCCGAACAGCTTGTGAGAGAACGTATAGCGTGGAGGTGTAGGTCTCTGCGCACTTCTCGACTTGCTTAAGACAGGAATGCTTGCAAACAAGCAAACAGCTGGAGGGTGGGTCCGTTGGGGGCTCTGAAATGAATTGAACAATGTTGGACGCTTTGTGAGGTCAGAGGCGAGTTGCAGGGGCCTGGGAGGACCAAGGTGAAGCCATGACGAAGCAATGTCCGAGTTACATTTAAGCGTACCTCAATGGTGCTCTGCATTGGATCAGACAACACCTATCACCAAGATCGCCATCACCAACATTCGCGCGTGCTCCGAGCACTCGAACCACATCGCCACACCGACAACTCATGATGGCACCCGGTGATCAGACGAGAGCAGCTACCCATATGTGCGACGGTACGAGGATATATGTTGTCACAGGTGTCTTCCTGTGAAAGCGAGCCGCTGGCCGCTGCTGGGGGGAACTATCTCACCCAAATCCTCACCCAACAGCTGCGGGACAGTGGGAGCTCGGAAAAGAAACACAAAAAAGGCAGGGTGGCGGCAGTGGCGGCTGGTATTGCCTGACAAGGTCGACACATTACGGCTACAAACTACCGGCTTCTTCCTTTGTTGCTATCTCGCCGTGTGCACGGGTTTTGGTTGAGATACTGTAGCCAGCCGATCTCACTTCTCACCAGGACAACACCAACACAGTAATGGGCTCTCCCGTCAACCGGCATGTCACGAAATAACTCGCCAAAGCGTATCGATCTTTCTGGCATCGTCGAACTGCGGGTTGTTCTGTTGAGAGCCCAGAATCGGGAGCAGGGTGCCTCCTTCGCATTCCTGATTTCCTGAGAGATCCGGCCCAAAAACAGCCTTTGGGCAAGTGAAGCCAAAATGAAGGAGGACAGCGCAGCCTTGACTGCAGAGTCTTCGGAGGAGAACGGGTCCAGAGAGCCAACACCTTCCTGAAAAACAACACCAAATAGTGGCATACCAGCACGTGGAGCACATGCAGAAAGAGCAGCTGACGCCTACAGTACAGGGCTCGAAGCTTTTCAAAGGCAGCAGACAAGCCTGTCATGCGTGCAGCCCCTGTTCACTGCACAAGCCAGTCTGTGGGGGAGACGAAACCTGCGAAAGCCAGCTCTGGGTGACTATCTGCGACCGGAGCGATGCGTTACCTCAAGTTCCGCTGCAACTTACCATTGGGAGGCGAGCCTGATGGCACCCAGTGTGGGTTTTCCACCCCCTGGCATGACTTTGCCATATGAAAGCAAGCCTCTGACTAGGTCCGACAAGCCCGCAAGGGACTGCCTGGAGAAACTGGCCGGCCACCTTTGGTGCCTGGCTGCTTGATGGCCTTTGACCAGGCTCCAAAGCAAACTCCTGCTCATCCAACGGGCACAACGTCGTCTGCTCGAGCACTCGCGTGCCGAGCCAAAACGCGAAGTCTCACACTTCAAGGCAGCAGCTGCGCTGTCCCACGCAGCGCTGCAGGGCAGGAGAGCTACCTCGGCCAGCCGCGTTGCAAACATGCCGAAGGAGCGGGCAAGAACAGTCGGAAAGTGCTCCATGTGGTGCGGCAAGCCACATGCATTTCTGCTGAACGCCCTAGGCTTACTAGGTTGTAGGATTCGGGCTTAAGACTTTGCCCACAGGTTGAAGCTAAGGATTTCGGATCATGGGTTTCGCCACTGTGATGTTTCAAGCAGCTCTGACGACGTCGAGTTCGGCGCTTGACTGGGTCTAGACTTGAAGGTTTAGGGAAGTGCAGCAAGCACATTGAAGCCCAGACACCTGCAAGCACGGCACCGATGCAGATCCGCGAGACCATGGCCAACGAGAGCATGAGTAACGCGCGTACTTCTCTCAGTACATCTATCGGTCCGAACAAGGGTTCTATATGGTGCTTACATGTTTGAATAGTTCTGTAGGGCTAGGTTTAGGGGGTTTAGCGTTTGGAGTTTAGCACTTACAGTGAATACGCGGAGACTGTACATGGAAGGCAGTTTATTTTTTTGCAATGTAAGCACCGATGAAAGGCGTCAAATAGCAACTAGCCTGCCGCCTGCGACCGTCGATGAAAAGGACCAGAACTCGTGCCTACAAAAGCTGCGCAGCAAAAATGCGTCTCACGCTCGATGTTGAGGCATGTAAACTCTGAACCTGAGTCGGCGATGGCCCGCCAACTCTCGGCTCACGCCACAACGCCAGCCAGCAGGGCAGAGCATGATGAAGCTGCGCCCCTGTTTCTGTTTCTTTACACACATCCTCAAGCTGTGAGACGAGGGAAAAAACCGTGTCCCTTGAGGCACTTGGAATAAAAACCCCCGTCTGTTTCTTTCTATGGGAGCGGAGACTTGCCCGGTCGGTAGCACTTAAGGCTGCCAGCCTTTTGCAAGCACTAGACGTCCGAGCAAAAGCAGTTCCACCCGATGCTACCTGGAGCTAGGTTTTGGATTTAAGGCTTAGGCGGGGTTTAAGGTTTCGGGCCTAGGGCTCAGGGTTTAGGGCTATTTCGGGTAGAAGCTGCCTCCTCGAATCCTAAGAGCGTTAGCAACGTTTCGGCCGCAGCTTGGCTGAAACGGGGTTCGAGGGCACTTTTCGTGCACACCCAATGATTTGATGATGCCAGGACTCCTTTCTGGTAAGGAAGCGAGTGCTCCGTGCAAGATCTGGGAGTTTCCGAAAATAGGGGACCCCAACATAGTACCCTAAATAGTGTCACAAGATCAACACGATGGAGTTGCATCAGCGACCGACGCAATGACATGGCCAAGCCCGAACCGGAGAAAGGTAAGCAAGCTGCTGCATGATGGCAACCGATGATGTTTCAGACTGCAAGAGATGTGGGGGCTGTAGAACTAACGAGACCCAAGTAACAAGCTCCGGTTATGAGGACCCCTAGATGAGAAGCCGGAATCATAAGCAAACCCCCGGGTCTAGCGACAGCTTCGACACTTTCCCCAGGATTGCGTCGGATATTCGAAATCGATCTGCTTGCTTTGCAGCAGAGAGTTGGAAGTTGAAGCACGGCATACAAATCGGATCTCACAACTCGACATACTCCTCCGGCCGCATGTGTTCGTCGCAGAGGGTCATCACATACTGAACCAAGAGCACTGCGTCATCCGAGGACATCTTGCCCAGGAGTTGCACTGCCTGTTCAATATCACTGGGCCTGCATGTGAGGGGCCCATCTTGACAGGCAAGTGCTTCGAGCTGCTCCATCCATGAACCACTCAGTCCGCTCGTCAAGAGCGAATGCGGCAGCGATTTGTGAGCTGTCGCAAGGGCGCAGGCGTGTCGGTATGAAGGCAGCTTCTTCTGCCCGAGCTGCAGCCACAAAGTGGTGAGCTCCTCGTTGGCCTTCGCAGCATCAGGCAAAATCAACACTTCGTATCAGGTCCATGTATTAATCACTTGCAATCATCATCATCATCATCAGCAGCAGCATCATCAAATTACCGGAACCCTTGGCGCTTCTGGCATCTCAGACCTTACACCTGTTTCTAGGTTTCAAACGGCAACTGTGCTGTTGAAACGGAGAAATGCTTTTGGCCGGCCGGACATGGAGATTTCTTGACCGTTGATTTAGGGTATTTCCTGGCTTGATCAGTTTCTTGTGAGACGAAATTGCTGCAGGAGAGCCGGAATTCATCGGAATCCTAGCTGACACCAGTAACGGCCTGGAAGGCCACCCAAAAATTGATGAAGCTTCGGCTTAGACGCTTCCAACCTACGTCAGCCCGCCCTGAACCCGAAGGTGCAGACATTGCCACGCCCACTTCCATACCTATCATCGCTACCCCAGGCATGATCCGGATGAGAAACCTGCAGATGCTGCAAAGCTTGCGGCTTCGTGCCAGCTTTGTGTCCCGGAATTTTTGGCGTTGCAGGTTCGAGCTTGACAGCCCAAGTCCGACGGTCCAACCGTTCGTTTTATTCTAGGAACCGGATTTTAACAAAACCGGGTCTTTACTAGGGCTCTTTATATGAATCCTAATATTTTTGGGCTATAGGGCCATGGTTTCTCAATCAGGGTCCTGCATTACGAGTTTGGCCTCGATGGCTCTGCAAGCCTCGAACGCACACTCGGGCAAACTGTCTGAGAGGCCCCTGGGTGGGACCTTGATGATTGGAGCTGGATGCGCTGGTGCTGGATTATGGTTTAGTAGGTGTATATCTTATATGTACATGTGGGGGGTACCTTAAATAGTAGGATCCTTACAAGAAGGACCCCCCGTATTAGGGTCCCCCTATTTTCGGAAACTCCCATGTATCGCGTGGCCACAGTTGATGCACTTGCAGGCTCAAGGGCGCCTTCACCAGGACCGCCTGCTGGAAGTGGGGGCCGTGGCGCAACACGGACTTGCTCAGCTGATGAAGCGTTCGCAACGTCCGGGCACCTTTGGGCATTGTATGCAGGCATGGCATGTCCATGCAGATGCCTTTATGCGTATTCATCTGTGCTTTATGGTTTTTGACAAGGCAAGGCAGATTATGCACATGTGCAAACAAACAAACATACATACATGCAGGCATGACAGACAGACAGACAGACAGACAGACAGACAGACAGACATACAGACAGACATGAACAAAGGCGTACTTGGGCGTAAACCGAGTTGGCCAATATACTACAATTCAGACAGTGGTGCATACCATAGCTTCAGGTATACAGATTGCGAATAATTCGACTCACTCGAACATCAAGTAATGTGGAGATGGGTGGGTACATATCAATAACTCATTTGTATCCGCCATGTATCTTGAAGTGTGTGTGTGTGGGCGCTTGCCGCAAGCATGCACCCATGCTATTGTTGCTCCTCGGGTCCTGTCTTTTGAAAACCCAATATTGCAGACCATAGCGTATACTGTACTGTATACCCTACTGTATGTTCCTACATATACTGATATCTATTTATTGGTTTGTTTACTTAATTTTGCGGTTGTTATTTACTTACTTGTTATTTCTTGTACTATATTCAATATGTTGTATGTACATGTACTATGTTGTAAGTCATAGTACATACTATATTGTACAGCATTTTACATATCTTTATGTACATGCACATATATACGTGTATACATACATACGTACATACATGCATACATGCCTACCTGCCCAACCACGGACCTACCTAGCTACCTACCTACATACACACATACAGCAGTATGTTATGCTTGGTACTGCTACATATAGCTCTTGTGGGTAAGAGTAACTTGTAGCATGTTTACGTTATTTTGCATTACATCATATTATACTATGCTATGTTACCTATCAGCTCTCACTTCGTCCAAGCAGCGAGTTTGCCTCACTGCAGTCTGGAAGGAGGTCAGTCGCTTCCTGGCCCAAATCAGACTTCCACAGTGCAGGACCAAGGTGGCATGCAGTACATAGTTTATAACTTATACCTTATACTATCATAACGTGGAATACAAGATATACAATACATAGTATGTAATGTACAATATGGCATATAGAGTATAGAGCCATGCAATATGCATACATACATAGTATATAGGTTATAATACAAAGCTTCACCTCATCATGAACACTGTCCACCGACCCTCTTGCCCAAGGCAGACTCTGCACTTCACAGTTGCAAAAGGCAGGGACTGTGCCTCGGATCCTCGGCAGGGGTCGTCACCGTGATCGCTTCGGAGGAGAAAGACCAGATCAGCTCCAGCGAATCCGATTCAGCCTGGGGCTTAGGGTTTAGGGTTTAGGTTTCAGGGTTTAGGGCTTAGGGCTGGCTTTCGTTATGCGCATTTTGGGGCTATGAGGAGGTTGGCGTCAATAAGATCCATGCATACTGCATGGGGCTGTTGACCTCGGACGATTGCATGCCATGATGATTCCCTGCATGCTTACATACATGCATGCATATGCGCATAGATACATATCTACATACATGCCTGCATGCCTGCATACATAGATACATACATACGGCATACATACATGCTACCTACTTATCCGTAAACGCTCGTCCATACATGCTTGCATGCAATGCATGTATGCATGAACAGATACATACTTACACCGACTCGATTCGTGTGTTTCGGTGCGGCGTATTTACATCTCATCGTCTGGGAGTACAGCCCAAGTTTCACAAACCGCTGATTATCATAGAGTACCACCCATGTTCACGAGTCTGGTGCACTTCAAGAGGTCCAGTAGTCACTATCTTGATCTTTCTCATGACTGAAAACCTCAGCGAATCACGAGCTGGGCCCGACTGCAGTAGGAATTGATTGGGGGACCTGGACTCATCCACAGCCCTGAGAATTGTAATTAAACCTTAGCGGGTCATTGGAGCTGCCTTTGGGCTCGTCTTCCCCTGATGTTCGCCGCGCCTCCGTGAACAAAGGCACGGCCCATTCGATGACGAAGCCCTTGACAGCACCTCCGGGCCAGGGCAGTGAGAGCGCTCACCCACAAGCGCTGCAGCAGGCGCAACTCCTGAATCCTAAACCCCAAGCTGAAAACCAAACCCGAAAGCCCCACACCCTGAATCCTCAACCTTAAGCCTTAAGCCGTCATCCCATGGCCTAGGGATCTCAGCAATGACGAGCTCGTTTTGGAGGGGGTGGGCCCGATCTGTGCTTGTCGGAGAACCTGCCAAAGTGTTGCATAGGGTTTCTCAAGGGTCCATACATACGGGTTCGATAAGGGTTTCAGGGTTTGGGGCTTCTGGTTCGGCTTCAGCTTCTTCGTAGAGCTATTCCTTCCAGGGGTGAAGGACATAAGCTTTTGGGTCCATCTCGGTCTCCACAATTCCCCATAACCTGCTTCATTCTGCATTCTAGAACATTGTAGAACCTACTTTCTGAACCCGAGCCGAAACCGCGGTCCTGAGCAGTGAAGTGGGCGAACAGGAAGAGGCACGCCAGCACAATGACCACAAGGAGTGAGTAGGCGACCCTGTGGGGTTTAGCGTGCAAAAATGTGTAGGGCTGAGGGCTCGTATGGAGTGTTGTGGGTTTAAGTTTCAGGTTTAATGGGAATCAAGGCTGGTTGCTCTCGCAGGCTGTAGCACAGGCGACCTTTGCAAGGCTTATAAGCAGAGTGGCGCATGTGTAGTTGCTGCCGGTGGCTTCAGAATGAGAAGTGACGCCACGGCAAAGAAGAGCAGGAAACGAATCGTGGACAGCGTCACCTGCGGCCAAGTAGCGACTCAGCACAGGGAGTTCAACATGGACCGATGGGCTCCGCAACATTATTTGCTCATGGTTGGGATAGTCTTCGATCAGGATCTTGATTGAAACTCCTCATTCAGTGTAAGTAGCAATAAACATCCAACATGGCCTCCACAACATCAAGGATTTCGGCTTGGTCGTTCGCGTAGGGCTTGACCCAGGCCGCCACAAGCGCCTCCACGGGTCCAGACTTGGAGCTTAATTACTTAGCTTTCAGGACTACGGCGACGCATCGCGCTTCGAAAATCGAGATGGGGTGGGGGGGTAGGGTATGCGGTTGGATGAGGAGCCGCGTGTGTTGGTTGTGCAAACTGTCGGCCAATCGTTCGCCGAATTCGAGGAAGCTTCGACAGAGCAGGAGACCTCCAGGCACTACATGAGCCTTAGAATTTGGGTTTTCAGCGTCATGCGCTTTGGAGCTCAGTTGGAAAAATGCTGCGGCCGCTTCGGCAGAGCCGGGCTATGGCGCCTGGAAGCCGGAGAGGGCGGGGAAGAGCATGAGCTTGCCCTTCGGATCCGGCACGACCGAAGTGTAGGTGAGAAGCATCATCAAGGCCACGTCCTTATCTGTTCCTACTTTCGGCATCTTTCAGCGAACCGCGTCGGATGATGATACGGCGGCACCATGAAAGCTTCTGAGGCCAGGTCCAAACGTTTGACGAGGAGGTCCCACCACCAGAATTTCGGCTCCAGGCCCTGGAAGAAGTAGCCGAAGCGCCTTGCAGGGGCCCAGGGCCCTGAGGGGCCTTCATCCTGCCCTCGCTCTCTCATACCCCAAACCGTCTGCCCTTCTAAGCATTTCTCTCCCTCCCTCTCTCTCTCTCTCTCTCTCTCTCTCTCTCTCTCTCTCTCTCTCTCTCTCTCTCTCTCTCTCTCTCTCTCCTTCTCTCTCTTTCAGGCATGAGGGACTCTCTCACCGGTCGCCTGAAGTTCTCTGGAGCCTGTCTGTCTGGGATGCGCAGCAGCAGGACGGCCAGCGTCAGCGGGATGCCAACGCACCAAACCACAAGCCCGGCAATCGCGATGCGGGCAGAGACGAAGTGCTCGTCGGACCAGCAAATGACGGAGGGGTTGGGCAGCAGTCGGTTCACGATGACATCGTCTTCCGGCACTGGAACACACCAGATAATCTGAAGGAAGCTGGACAGCAGCCCAGGCCATAGAGAGACCAGGCTCACCCAGATGATGGGAACACTCTGGTTCAAGAGCTCGCCGAGGCGAGGTGCCGCTGAGAACAGGCCGAAATTCAGCGTCTCCACCACCTGCGAATCCCACACGCACAAGCAGGTCTAGCTAAGGCTGTGCTGTACAAGTAGTGTGGTTCTCAGCGCAGCACCGTATCCACCATGGGGCTCAAGTCGTGCTTCGATACCGCAATCTGCACCTCGTGCGGCCTCAGTGCAAGCTGCTGTTGCTGTAGTTCTCTGCAGCTGACGAACGGTGCAAATTCAATTATTGCCGGCACGGTCATGACCTGCTCAGTTGCGGCATGTCTGAGGAGGGGGCGCGTCGTCCGCAGCCCGCAAAGCGCCTTCAGGCGCCTCGCAGCCAGCTGAAGGCTCTGAGCCCTCCTTGAGATGCTCCTTTGCGTCGTTCTGTTCGGAGTCTTCCAAAGCTTCAGCGCCGGTGAAGGCGACGCCGGTCTGCACTTCATCCAAGACCATGTCCAGCATGCTGGTGAAATTCTCGAACTGCGTGGCAAAATCAGTCGTCAGGAAAGGCCGCAGATCTGCCTGTGCAAGCGGGACATCCTGAAAACCGATCGAATAACTCTCTCTGAGCCCTGTCTGGGCGGGTATGGCGGGTGCGGATGCGGGTGCGCCTGCGCCAGCTCCTCGTGCACCTTTTGCGCCTCGGCCTGCGGCCGAAGTTGGGCCGCTCGGGCGGCGCAAGCCCTCAGGAGGAGCTCCCGGGATCCAACGAACGTGTTGCAAAGGAAGGCGTCGAGATCCTCGGCTGCCCGCTGCACCTGAGCCACGGTGTCGAAATGCAAGGCGCCCGAGCGCTCGAGGTCGACCCAAGAGAAGGTGACGGCGGGAGCGGTCGATGTCGGAGCAACGGCAGGAATGTCGGACGTCTTCGGAAAAGCCTCACCCAGCACCTGATCCATTGCCTCACGCAGGCTTTGCATAGCCTTGGCCTTCCTGCGATGGCGGCGTCCAGCTTCGTTGAAAGCGAAGCCCAAGCGCTGGCCCGAAGGCACCAGCAAGTGCACGACCAGCAAAGAGAGCAGCACTATGCCGAGAATCACCAGCAAAGGCAGGATGAGATAGTACACCCCAACGGCCAAGCTTGGAGCCGTGCTTTGGGAAGAGAACTCCTGACAAGCCAACGGAAGGCCAGCCAGCTGGGGGCTTCTCCCCATGCCAAAAGGCTTCTCTTAAGTCTTAGAGTAACCCCGCGCCTGTGCCAGGCACTGCGCTGCCGAGTCGATGGAGGTCAAGACGGGGGTCAGCGTGAGGGTCTCGAAGAGGCCTAGCATCGCTGCGGTGACCTGTGCGGGCCACGGGAAGAGCCGAGCATCCTCCTCTCTGGACCAGGTCTCCGTGTCCTCGTTGATAGGTATCCTGAGTTCGTGTTGGGGATATGACTCCAGTACATCAGCGCAAACCATGTGCTTTCCGCTTCAGGGCAGCTCGAGCTGCGTTGCTCGAAGAGAGTTCGTCACAGCTTGCATAACATATCCCCCAAACCCTAAAGCCTACGGCCCTTTGCTTTAAAACCTCAAACCCTAAACCGCAAACCCCTCAACCCTCAACCTTAAGTCTCAGACTCTAAACTCTGAACCCAGTATCTGGGTCAGGTCGAAGGTTGCCAGCACCGAGCAGACAGCCAGCCACTGGGTGGCGATGCGGATCATAACCTTAGAGGCGCTTAAGAAATATGAGGACTACACAAGGTGAGGACTACAGAATTAGAGGGAGGTGCTGAAGGAGTACAAGGACTAACATGAAGGGACTAGATAGGCACTACTGTTGGGATTGACTCTTCCAGGCTCAAGCAAGTCACTGTGTGAAGCTTGCTGCTTGCTCTGACGGCAGCTGTTGCCGCCATGGACGCCACGACGAAGCTGACGGTGGCCTCCGGGTCAATTGTGGCATCTTATGGTGTCTTACAATATCTTATGGTCACTTACGGTCGAGTGCTCTGGCACCACTTCTAGGCTAGCTCCATCTTTCAGGCGTTGCGGATTTAACCTGCGGCAACTTGGTGAACGAACGCGCCGCCTTCGTCCCAACATCGATGATAACTGCGGCAATCAGTGGCATAGCAGAACTGGTAGCACACGGTTCGCAGGGCCGCTGGAAGGCACTCCTGGCCCAGCCGTATGGGCACTCGCCACATAAGAAGCCAGTGGAGCCTTCGTCGCAGGCATTGCCATACCTACCGAAGCAGTCCACTGCGTCATCTTGTTCGCACGGCTGCCCTCCGAGGCAAGTGCTTAGGCCAGTGGCCGTGACCGCGGTGCACTTCACGGTGATGGTCTGTCCTGTCTGGAAGTGCCCCGGCCGAGCGACAGGCAGCGTGTGGTTGCCAGTCTGAGTGATGCCCGCCTGAGTGTGAAAACCACCCAAGCACTGCAGATGAGGAAGGAAGGCACAACTGGCGCACCTGGCTAACCATCCTGCTCCATCCAGAACTGCATAGAATCCCGCCACGCAGAAACAGTCTCTCAAATCGGTGGACGCATTGGCACTCTCGCCATTTGTGGGGCACTGTAATGGGCACGTTGGATCGTTAGCCAGCGTGGGCTTGTAGCGTCCAGGTTGGCAAGGCTCACAGATGGCCCGAGCTTCAAGGGCATAGTACCCCGGGTTGCACAAGCAGTCTGCTTGTTGGAGGGAGCCAGCGCGTGAGGTGGCATTCTCTGGGCACCGTATCTCTTCACCCTGGCCCGGGCAAAAGAAGCCTGCTCTGCAAACTCGGCAGGCTTGGCCCTCTTCTGCCAGACCTGAGCGGCATCGACAATCAAGGGGAGATGTGGCGCCCTCCGCCGAGGTCTTGTTGCTGGAACACCTGCTGCAGGGGGTGTCTCCCACCAGCGCTTTGTATTCGCCCGGAGCGCATTCGGTGCACTTGTTTATCTCCTCGTCCAAGCCATAGCCTGGAAGGCATCTGCAACGCTCTGTGTTGCCAGTGCCGTTACTGAAGGTGCCACTGCCGCACGGCGAGCACCGGAAGTCTCCAACGCTGCCCTTGAAAAATCCAACGGGACATGGAGTGCAAAGCCCGTCTTCCAAGAAGCTGCCGGCTCTGCAAACGCAAGAAGACTCGTCGGCTGAAGTGTCGCTCGCGGTGGTTTGGGATGAGGCACAAGGCTGGCGGGTCTGCAGGCCCCCAGTGCAGAAGAAGCCCACGCCGCAGGATTCACAAACTGCCGGGTTGTCAGGCTGCGTGTTGAAGAAGCCGGGGATGCAGGTGCAGGACCCAAGGCCGGTGGCTCCCTCCTCCAGTCATTGAGCGGGTATGCCGTGAAGCCGACAAGACAAGGAAGAGAAAACAAAGAAGAAACCTGAAGCAGCTGCCTACGCAGCTACGAGCAGCGGACGACCCGCCTGCAACGTCGAAGACCCGGCGGGGCACGCCAGGCAGACGGCGCTCTCTGCATCCCAGTAGCGTCCTTGAAGGCAAAGGCAGTCGGGGAGTTGGCCTCGGTGGAAGAGCACAGCTGAATGATGCTGACGGTCTGAGACTGTTGCTCTGTGAGAGCGTGTGATTCTCGCAGTGCTGAGAAGCGGACGTGAGCCCTGCATCGAAGTGCTCACCGACGGGCAGCTTTGGACTTCGGATCCTCCGGGGCAGAAGAAGTTCGCCGGGCAGGGCAGGCAGGAGGAGCCGGGCCCTTCGCTGTACTCGCCGGGCGGGCAGAGGACCTCCAGGCTCAGGGCGACCACGAGAAAGTCCTCCGCGGAAGCGCAAGGGGCCGCCGCAGCAGGGCACCAGCAAAGCTCCAGAGCTTCCGGCTTGAGGCCCTCCGAAGGGTCCAGAAAGCCCACGTGCAAGGTGTGCCAACCATACGACTCGTTGAAGGAGACGCCGACCGAACGTCGAGGGTAGGTGGAAGAAGAAGAGAGCCGCGGCCCTTCGCCGCATCGGCTCTGCATCACGACGCTGTCGTTCGCGGAGATGCCGACTCCTCGCCACCCGGCGATCGTGCAATCTGTCCCAAGGTAGCAGCGAGCGGACTGGTGCAGCTGCGGCCCCTCTACAACAAAGTAGCCCAATGTCGCACTGAAGTTGTCGGGGTGGCTGCAGTTGACTTCACACCAGCAGAGGCGGTGATGACCCGGTTCTGTGAAGAAAGGAGATGCATTTCCTCCGAACATCCAGAGATCCTCCTCCGCTTCATCAGAGAGCAGCATAGGGAGTCCTGCCAAGATATCCGGGTCGGAGCAGGTGCGTTTCGCGGCCACAGAGCCGGAGGCATTCCAGTGGAAGGAACAGTTGCGGCCCTGCTGGCAGTGGACCAGCAAGGGCGGGTTGGTCTGACTGACCACGTATCGCCAGGTTTGCTGCAAGTAGGAGGCATTGAAACCACCGAAGGACAGCAAGCCGCGAGAAGCGAAGTCCCAAACAACGCCATGACCGGTACGGCCAGTTGGGCCCACGACCTGACTTTGCAAACCCTCTTCCTTCCAAGAGTTCGTCAAGAGGCTGTAGTTGTATATGGAGGAATCGTAGCTGAGGTCGTTGCTCACATTGGTGATGCCGCCCATGACCAGCATGCTCATTGAAATGGGGTCCCACGCCGCACCATGTCCAGCGCGAGCCGTGGGCCAAGATCCTGCAGCTGACAAGTGGTCCCAGGCGCCTGCCGAAGCATCGTAGCTGCGCAGGTCATCCAGGTACTGCTGCCCGCTCCACCCGCCGAAGACGAGCATGGACCGGGTCGTGGGCACCCAGACGGCCGTGTGTCGGCTGCAGGCTCCCGGCCCTTGTGCCAAAGACTCACTCCACTGGCCGTCGGCGAGGCTGTAGCGCTGGAGGTCCTCCAACACCTGGCTACCGCTCTCACCTCCGAAGACGAGCACGGCCCTCTCCACGGGGTCCAGGATCGCGGTGTGGTAGGCGCGCGCCAATGGCTTCCCCAGGGAAGGCAATGGCCTCCAAGCGCTGTCCTCGCTGCGAAATTGCCAGATGTCATCGTAGAAGGTGACCTGGAACCTGCCTCCAAACACCAGCATAGACCCGGAATGCACGTCCCACACGGCTGCGTGGCCCCATCTGGCGCCGGGGGCGGCACCCCCACTCAACGGCAGGATCTCCGTCCAAGCTCGTCGAGGCCAGTCGTAGCGCCACAGGTCCGCAAAGTAGAGGAAGGCGTTGCTGGCGTGGCCCCCGAACATCCATGCGGACTGCGTCTCGCTGTCCCAGACCAGAGAAGCGTCCTGGCGCCCGGCAGGGCTTCCCTCCACCGTGAACTCGCTCCAGGCATTCGACTCGCACTCCAGACCTGCTCTGAAACATAGCCACCAAGCAAACTCAAAAAGCACATCATGTGTTGACATCATGACTGCGCATCCACGCACAAGGACTCGTCTACGAGCAGTCCGAGTCCTAGCGTTCACTGTAGCGGCCTGCGGCTTCTTCAGGAGCGCAGTCGTGCACGTGCCACCCGCGGAAGATGCATTCGCGAAGGCTCATTTCTGCGCCTGTACACCTGATGTTATCAGCAAGGATGGTGCCGGCCCCCGCGGCACCCCACATAGCTAAGGCTGCCATGGCCCTGCCACTGGCCATGCCGAGATCACGGCAGGCCACTCGCGCCACCCGATCATCAAAGCCGTCATCGCAGGCGAAGCCGACGGAAGAATCGTGCTGCAGTTGAAGGATCCCTCTGGCAAAGCCATGGTCTTCGGCGACGGCAAGCAAGCTGAGACCCTGAAGGCCAGCACCAAGGGTCAGGCGGAAGAGCTCCGCAGGCACCAAAGCCACACCAAGCTCGCCTACGCTAAGGGTGCTGCCGATGCCCAGCTGCCCAGTATTGCCGTCACCCCAGCACCTGGGAAGCATCCACACGGAAACTCATGGTTTGGGGCACCTACGAGCTTTGTTGCGAAGTGCAGGCACCTTGTGGTGTCGTCGTCCAAGAGCACGCAGGTGTGGCTATAGCCGGCACTCACATCCCGCACCTCGAATTTGCCCAGGTTGACTGCCGGCAGATTGGAGCCCATCTCCAGAAAATCGTCTCCCAAGCTCTCCAGGTTGCCCTGGCCAAGCCTCTAGTGGTGCGGGCTGCTTTGGAATTCTTGGAAAACGACTGTTCCAGAAGCACCCTTACCTTCCACCAAACTGAGGCCTAGGCTGGCCACTCCCTCCCCAGCCCCAGCACTTGAGGCTTGCATCATGAAGGACAGCACAGGTGTGATAAGAACCAGCAATGATACGCACAACCGTCACGCCTTCGCCCAGGTCCGTGACAGCAAGGTTGGTGCCCATCTCAACGGGCTGGTCGCCGGCGTGTTCACTGCTCTCGTGTCCAAGTTGCCCATCTTCATTCCAACCCCAGCACTTCGCCGAGCCGTCGGACAGGACCTGACGCATGCACGTGCACGATACGATAGAACGAGTCCAGTGCACTGGATGCGGGCAAGCGGCGGCGCAGGTGTGGTTATACCCGGCTGCGATTTGCACAGCAGGAAGGGGGCCCAAGTCCACTACAGGTAAGGCATCGCCCATCTCGTTGGGGCTGGTTCCGATGTAGCGTCCACCATCGCCAAGTCCCAGGCGGTTGCTCTGTCCCCAACATTTGACGGCACCTTGGCTTGAGAGAGCACAGCTGTGGAAAGCTCCCAAGGCCAGCTGCACTGCTTCGAAGTCGGTGCCCAGGTCCACCACTGGGAGCTCCGAGCCCATCTCGCCGGGCTCGTCGCCACGGTTCTCCCTCACGTGTGTTGCGCACACTCAACTCTCTCAAGCACCATGCCATGTCAGTGAAGTGGCAGATAGAACCTCTGGGGCCCGGGCTCGTCTCCCAAGCCCAGCAGACGTCCCTGGCCAAAGCACTTCACGCGCCCGCCTCGAAGCAGAGCGCAGGTGTGGTCCATACCAGCAGCCACCTGCGCCGCCTCCACGCCGGGGCCCAGGTCCACGGCTGGCAGGTGCTGGCCCATCTCCAAAGGCTCGTCGCCAACATCGCGGGTGTGTCCGTAGCCAAGCCTGCCATAACTGCCACTCCCGAAGCATTTCAGGACGCCCGTTTCGAGAACTGCGCAGGTGTGCCATTGACCGCAGGCCACCTCCGTCACTCGAACGCCCGGCTCCCCGAGGTCCACGGCCGGCAGGTTCTCCCCCATCTGACCCGGAGCTGTCCCCACAGATGCTATGCTGCCGTAACCCAACTGGCCGCTAGCTCCACCTCCCCAGCACTTCAGGAGGCCCTCGGCCTTGAGAACTGCACAGTTGTGGTAGTTGCCAGAAGAGAGGCTCAGGAACTCCGCCGGGGCTACTTCAGGGCCCTCCCAGGCGAGGATTGCGTCCAAAGCGACTCTGGATTCCCCAGCAGAGCTCACGAAGCGCAGCCGCTCCACCCCGCTTGGGAGCCTCACCTTGGCCTGAAGCCAGTCGGCCCCTTGGTTTCCTTGCCGGGACCAGCGCGAGCTCCAGCTGCCACCTTTCAGGTACCATAGCTCCAGCTTGCCGACGCCAAGACCAAGCATGTGAAAGGCGAACTCCAGGTAGGAGTTGGCGGGCCTGGGGAAGAGCGGGCTGGTGAGCACGTATACCTGCAGGAGCCCATGGCAGATCGGCGGATCGGAGAGTTGGCAGAATTTTCCCCCTGCCTCGTTCTCGAGGGGGGTGACGTAGACGTAGCTCTCGGCGTGGAATGCTGCATCAGGCATGGAGGCTAAAGGACTTTGGGAGGGGCCGCTGACGTGCTGCCAGTCCCCTGCCCACTTGCAGGTGTCCTGTTCGAAGCTGCACCGCACATCCGCCAGAGTTGCGTCGACCACCGACAAGGAATCCAGCTTCACCCGGTCAAGATCACCGGTGACATTGGCCACGAAGCGGAAGCCGACACTGCCAACAGGCACTGTAACCGCACCAGTATGCCAAGCATCGCTTCGGCCACCCGACTCGAACTGCAAGCGCTGCCAGCCATCAGCGGAGGTTCGGTGTTGCACCTCCAATGCCACGGCATCCGAGCCGGACAGCTGATAGTCGAACACCAAGATCTTCTCCTCAGTGGCGTTGAAAAGAGCCGCAGTCTCCAAGACCCGTTCCGAAGATTGAAAACTGTCCCCAGAAGCCTCCAGCCACTGGCCAAAAGCATCACCCACAAGCTGCCATGAAGAATCGCCATTGCTTTGCCAAAGGCAGGTGTCAAAACGGAAGCCACAGGACAACTGGCGGAACTCCACCGTGGGCAGTCCAGTGGCGATGGCGTCCAGCGCCGTGCTGCCATATCCCGGAGCATATAAAAACCCACCATAATATCCAGCGTAGCCATAGCCACCGTCCTGCATAGTTCCGACGAAGCGGACTGCAGTGACGTTTGGTGGCAAGCGCACCACGGCCAAGTGCCACTCGCGGTCCCGCTCTCCTGCTAGTGACCACAGCTGAGTCCACGCAGCGCTGCTGAAAGCTTCGAGTCGCAACCCGTCGTGCTCCCCAAACACGTGGAAATAAAAGTGGACATACACAGTGGCCGGGGAAGGCTCGAAGACGCTACTGGTGAGGACCACGTCCTGCAGGGAGGACGCAGTCCAAGCAATGCTGGGCAGGCTGCCGCTTGCTCCTAAGACTAGAGACGGTGGACCCAGTTCACGCGGCACCCAGGATGTTGGGATATGTGTTGGGGCTGCATCGGAATCTACATAACATGATGTTACGGCAGCGCCCAGCCGATCAACGGAGCATCTGGCCTCCCAGAAATTGGACTCCACAAAGGCATACCATCCGCCCTGAACCGCCGCGGCCGGTCCAGTATCCGCCGCCCCGGTGGATCGCAGCCAGTTATGGTTGCCGGTGGACCACCCGCAGAAGTCCACCTTGCAGATTCTCACAGGGCACAAAGATAGCATGCTGGGCGCCCGGGCCTCGAAGCCGCAGCTGACGGCGGCGTCCCATGAAGCCTGCAGTGCTCGGGCGAGATGCTCCTTCGCATCACGCATGGGTCCAGGTATGTCCAGGTCCGTTCGGTGTTGATGCCAATGTGGCGAGCAACGTGCTCCTGGGAAGTGTGGCTGGAACTCGCAGCGCACAGAATCTGCGTGGGCCCGTCCTGTCAGGTCGTCTGCCACTGCAGGAGGATGCAGATGCGATTTTGGAGGGCAGAAAACGGTGCTTTTGTATCTCTCCTGCCTCGTCCTTCGTTAGAAAGGCTTGGACCTCTTTCAACCTGCCGAGCGGCAGCAGCAAACCCCAAATGTTCAAGCCGTCCGGGCTGCAATGGCATGACTTCCAGGAGTGCCTGCTACCAGGTGCAACTTTGACGATGCAGCTCTGCAAGGTCGGAAGCTCGTTCGTGACGATGATGCAACCGGCTACCCCAATTGTGCACGGCCTTGGTCGGAGTCGGAGCACAGGGAAGCACAAGCGCTCACCCAAAGCACGTTACTGGGGAATGTTCACTAGAAACTCAATGAGCTCGAATGTGCGAGTCTGGCGTTGGTCTTCAGGCACCCCCGAAGCCGCGCAGCTGGCAACAGCTTGTTTGCAAGCTACCGCTCCAAACCCTCATCAAACTGAAAGGGTTTGGGGTCCCGTTTAAACCCAGCTATCTCAAGCTTCTTTTGACCACCGAAGGGGCTGCGGTAAGCACCTGTAGCATGCATGGTATCAGCATAGGCTTTACATCCTGCCGAACGGACTTGCGTCTCGCGCCCATTTGGGCCTTCCGGAGCTGAGCTCAACGGGAGTCGGGGTGAAACGAAACCTACGGGCACTCCAGACTGGGAGGACCTCACCAGCCTGGGTGCCAAAGGGGGGGTCTGGGGTCTGCACAAGGGGAGGTACTCACCCTTGGAGACCGCCCGAGACCTAAGGCTGGGTACTGCAACACCTGTCCCTGGGTATCAATCAAGTCGGCACACGACACCTGCCCTTAACCGCAGATTGTTTGCCGGCACCTGCGTGCTGAGAGGTGGCAACACGCTCAGAGGCTGGCGCTCAGGCCAAACTCTTACACGATCTATTTGTGCGCCTGTGCACTGCAACACAAAGCGCAGCAGGTCAGGCAGACCGCATGAGCCAGGGATAGCTACCTTGTGCCATGTCGCATTACCTTCTGGCCAAATAAGCTCGACCTCTAGCACTAGCTCCACAACGATGCGCTCTGGTCCGTGTTTCAAACACCGGGGCAGTGTTGGGTTGGAGCTGGAAGCTGCTTGATTGTCGCCCGAAGACTCAGGGGGTGAGTAAGTCACCAACTCCTCCTGGTCTTTGGGGAGAACCTCACCTGTAGTCTTGCTATTTGCACCCTTCCCTTGCCCTTTGTGCTCTGGTGACCTGGACCTTTGTCTGCCCTGGTCCTGGAGAGGAGTCTCACCCTCTGGCCGCGGGGTTTCTTGGAGCACTACTGGCTGCCTTGGACCTGTAGTCTTGCTCTTTGCACCCTTGCCTTGTATTTGTGCTCTGGTGACCTGGACCTTTGTCTGTCCTGGTCCTGGGGAGGAGTCTCACCCTCTGGCCGCGGGGTTTCTTGGAGCACTACTGGCTGCCTTGGACCTGTGGTCTTGCTCTTTGCACCCTTGCCTTGTCCTTTGTGCTCTGGTGACCTGGACCTTTGTCTGTCCTGGTCCTGGGGAGGAGTCTCACCCTCTGGCCGCGGGGTTTCTTGGAGCACTACTGGCTGCCTTGGCGGTGCCTGTGGTGGTGGAGGCGGACGGACAGAGGGCATGCCGACGTTGGAGGCAGGGGTTGCCGTTTCCGCCATCCTAGCTCGGTGCGCAAGGGCTCTAGCCTTGGATCGCGAGATAGATCCCACTGACTTGGAAGCCAAGCCTTCCGAAACACGGTCTTGGTTGACCTGCCACGCGTGCCATCTTTCTTCCGCCGTTCGCGGCGGGCCCTTGTTATGGCCTTTGCCACCCATTGCGCTCCTACGGCTGCCCTGCCCTAAAGAACTTTGCCACGCTTTGAAGCCCTGTGTTCACCTGGGCTTTAGGTTTGCTTTTGCTTTGCTTTTGGGCTTCGAAGGGGCAGTCAAAGGCCTGAGGAGCTCAGGGTGTTCGGTAGGAGCCTGTGTAGCTTCGGGGTCCTTCCTAGGCTGAGAAACTCGAGCCACACACTGAGGCACAGCAGAAGTGTTCGCGGCCAGACTGCAAGAGCCAGGGGCTTCCGAGGGCACAGGGGCACGGGAGGAACAGCTCTACCAGCAAACAACTCTGCAAAACCCTGTGCACGTGACAATTTGGGCTCCGCAAGAGGAGCCCTCTTTCCATCATTTTTCTTTACGCCTCTGCACTCCTTCGTGAGGGGTCCTTTGGCCTATGGGCATTACAACAGGAGCAACTCCACTAGTAGCCCAGATTAAGAATCTTGTGGGAAGGGTGGAGTACAGCCGGTCTGTGCTTGCAGGGGTGCTCAAGGACAAAGACCACGACTTCGTCCGGATCTACCTGCTGCGCGTATAAGTTGCATTCCTTGCCCTTGATACAAAGATTTTTGGCAGAAGTGGTCACCATCCACTGGTGACCTGTGTGGGCATGGGACCCTTGCGTCGCGGCAATCAATCGCTGTCTCTTATTAGGTCCCTGTGGCTTAGTCCCACGATTCTTGACTGGAGCCGCCTCGAATTTGATTTCTTTCTGCTTTGGCACTGGGTCTGTCGCCAGTATATGAGAGCACCGGCGGCCCAACAAGGCGACCTTGGCCCTGGCCACCTGATCTATGCAGTCAGTCCGGTGGGCTTGTGTGTGCGAGAAAATCTCAGCACTTTTACGACTACATGCAAGATCTGCTTCCAGGTTCGTGGCCCAAGTCCACCAAGCAGCGGGGCCGAACCTCTGGCAATGCTGAGCGTCATCGAGGTGACCCTTGGTCCATTCAAGCTGGACCAGCTCCCTTTTCTCTAACGTAGCCGACCACAACTGAGGAAACAACTCGTGGGCCTTGGCCATAAGACAGCGCTTAATTGCCACCTTGCTGTCAGAAGATGACCTGACTGGCACCTTGGCCCATTCCGCAAGCTGGTTGATGGCCACCTGCTCACCGTCGTTGACAGTAGATCCGATCTGAAGGGAACCTGTGATGGTACCTATGAGCTCATATTTCCCAGCATAGGGCGGCGTAGCGGGGAATTCGGTAACCCTAATCGCCACCACAGCCCAACTGATGACCCTGAGTCTGGGGTCATCGCCTCGGGGACCACCTGACGCGTCTGTCCCGAAGAAGACTGTGTAACAGATAGTTCAATTTTCCCCTATGTATAGAAATACACAGGAATCCAGTGTTTCACCGTAGGTCAAACCGAGGCTCAAGACAGCCCGACAGCGGAGCTTAAGAGTGAGAAAAGAATCCAAGCTCGCGCCGTGGTTATAAGAAGTATACTGGTATAAGGGTTTAAACTTTCATGGTAGCGGAGCTGTTGGCAAAGGCCAGCAGCTGATCAAGCAAAGATCCAGGGAAGCCAGCCACGAGCTGGGAAGTGAAGCAGGAAGTTAAGGTTAAGTCCGAGAGCATCCTGCCGGAGAACAAGCAAGGAGTTACGGCAAAGCCAAAAGCACCTTGCGTCGTCGAAAAGAGAAGTGTGGAGGTTGAAGACCTTGAGCCAGTTACAAAAGGACCTGCTGAATTGTTGAAAAGATGGATCAACAAGGACAACAGCCGCAACAGCCTCAGCCGCCCCTGAATCCCCAACAAGGGCAGCAAGCGAGGTTCGAGCTGCTGATGAACAGTTTAGGTCAAGCCATAGAAGCTATGGCCAGAGTTGCCCAAGGAACTGCGAATCAGCAAGCGCAGTTGGCTACAGCAATGAGTGAATTGGCGAGAGCACAAGCAACGCCGAAGGCGGGACCCCCTGGGGACCGGCCAGCCTCAGTAAGTTTTGATACAGGAGGTAAGATTCTCAAGCCACCAGAATTGTTCAATCCGGCAACGATTGAAGAAGAAGTGTCGCATTGGAGCGACTGGGCGTTTACGTTCAAGAACTTCATAGCGTTCATGGATCAAGAGTTCCTGATTGACTTGAAGGCCGCGGAAGAAGAGAAAGATGTGATAAGCTCAGAGGTGACGAATTCATTCTTTGATAGTGATCAAGCAAGAGTGAACAGAGGAACAAGGCTCTACTCAGTGTTGAGTAGTTACCTGAAGAACAGACCTTTGAAAGTGCTAAGAAGTGTGAGCGGGATGAATGGATTTGAAGTGTGGAGAAAGTTGACGGCTGAATTAGAGCCGACGCCTCGTCCAAGAAGTCTTGCAATGGCACAAGCATTGGTTGGATTTCCGGCCATGAGCAAAGGAGCATCGCTGATGGACTACGTCCTGACGTATGAGAAGCTTACAGCAGAGTACGAAAAACTCTCAGGGCAGAAGTATGATGACAACTTGAAGATCGGTACACTGCTGAAAGGAATCCCACAGCACCTCAAGCAGCACGTGATGGTTGATATCACTGATAAGACCACATATGAACAATTGAGGACAAAGTTGCTGCAATATGAAAGAAGCAATCAGACATGGTCAGCTGAAAATGTCTTAGGATCGCTGAGTGTTTCGGATCCAACGTCACACTCAAGCAACAAGCCGTACCAAGGACCAATTCCGATGGAACTTGATAGATTGCATCGGAGGAAAGGAAAAGGAGATGGAAAAGGTAAAGGAGACAAAGGAAAAGGAATGCCGTATGGAAAAGGAAAAGACAAAGGAAAAGGAAAAGGATACGGAAAAGGAAAAGGTGGCAGAGGAAGACCGAAAGGAAAAGGAAGAGGCTTTGGAAAAGGAAGAGGATTTGGAAAGAAAGGATTTGGAAAGAGCATCAGGCAGGCCGAAGGAAAAGGCTACGAGAACCCAAAAGGCAAAGGTGGACAGAATGGACCTGTGTGTATCAATTGTGGTAAGACCGGACATTACTCTTCGGAGTGTTGGTCGGCACCGAAAGGAAAGGGAAAAGGAGGAAAAGGAAAGGTTCGGAATGTTCAGGAAACAGGTGAGGAAGAATGGTATGAAGAGCAACCAAGTTCTTCTACACAGCCACAAGCCAGAGCACCGCAAGGAGCCAAAGGAAATGAGCAAGTGCGTAGGTTGGTGACAACGCCTATGCCAGTGATAGAAGAAGTCACTGAAGAAGATGATGACTACATTGATCTTGTAGGAATGTTCGAAGAAATGGTGATGGATTACGCTGCACGAACAGTAAAAGTCCGCACAGTGATGTTATGGTCAAATATGGCTGATGAAAGTGATGAAGAAGATTACGACAAAGATGAACTGCACCAGTGGTATGAAGATCTGTATGTAGACAAGAAGAATGCCAAGTGTGCGAGAGAAAGAGAAAGACTTTTCACTCAGGAATATGAGTCAGAAACAGAAGTTGTGTTGGAGCAAGAGAGAACAAGTCAAGGA